CGACATGGGGTTCGATCTCAGGACCCTGGGATCATGACCTGAACTGAAGGCAGATGCTTAACCGACTGAGCCACTCAGGCGCCCCTATTTTTAAAATTTTAAAAGCAGTAATAGAGCAGTGTTAGAGAAAGTTTGAGAAGTAATAAAATAAAGCAAGGCATAATGCCGCTATTTTAACACATTGCTGTTTAGGGCTTTATCTTTTTCGTAATTATTTTCATGCTTTTTCTAATTATGAAAAAGCTTTTTTCAGACATGTTTTTTACCTAGTTTTGTATTTGGTTTTGGCTTGACGTGATCTCCCAAGCACATTTTCTGTGCTGTAGTGGGCTCCAGCCCTGTGCTTTTCGCTGTAAACCATGTGCATGGGGTGGCAGGTCGTGTGGTTTCCTGGGTGCCCTGCCCTGCCCAGTCCGTGCATCTCCCTGCAGGGGTACATTTTTCTGACTCGCCCGGAGGCATCCTGAATGTCTGCACACACCCTTGGTGAGCTGAGGGTGGAGATCCAGGGGTAGCGCTGGTTTGGCCGGGCACCGGGATCCGCCGAGATGAGGCAGGAGAGAGCATTTGGGGCCAGGTCCCGGGAGGCCTTGATCGGTGTCCCAAGTGGGGACATGGAGAGCGGCTGCTGGTGAGCCCTGCCCTCCCTGGGTTGAGGTCTCCCACTTACCACCTGCTTCCCTGCTCCCTAGGATGCCTTCCTCGCCTTCCACCGTGACCTTGATTTCGTGCGCAAGTTCATGAAGCCTCTGCTGATTGGAGAGCTGGCTCCAGAGGAGCCCAGCCAGGACCATGGCAAGAACGTGAGTGTGCCCAGACCAAGGAAGGAGGGGAGGGTTTGCAGGGAGAAGGGGTGCCCGCCTAAAGACAGAGTGCCAGGTGTGGGCCAAGGGACCTTAATGCCAGTCCAGGGGAGCCACCGCCCAATGCCTGGGGTTAGGCAGGACTCTGAGATTCTGCAGTGAGCCTCTTCCTCTTGCTGCCAGCCTAGGCTGGCCCCTTACCTTGGAGTGATTCTTTCCCAGCCTCTTCATGTCCATGGTGTCAATAGAGTTAGGCTGGGCCCAGGGTCTTCTCTTCTGGTCCAGTTCTCCCACCGTTTTCTCTTTCTCCTTCCCTGGGAAATCCAGCCCATTCCATGTGCCCCTCCCCCTGGCTCTCCCCATCTCTGCCCCTCCCTTTCTCCCCAGGGCTGAAGGGGGAAATTGTCTTCACCCCTCCCTGGAGCTGACCTGGGTTTCCATCCTGCTTCCTTCACCCATGGCTCCATCCTCCGCCCTCCCCAGCCCCCCTGTAGGCAGGCAGCTTCTCTCCTCTCTTTGGTGTCCTGTGGGCTTCCTCCTTCCTGACCCTGCCTTCTTTGGCCCCTACCTGGTTTCCCCACTTTTCCTACTTAAACGGGTGTTCACCACTCTTCAAGATCCTTTGCCACTTATCACCCGGGCTCCCAAACCTGGCTTCCTCCACCCACATGGCACCCTGTCTACCCTTTCAAAGCGCCCTCTTCCCCCCACCTGCCTGACCCCTGCCTCCCAGCTGCTTTCTTTCTCCCAGCTGTGCTCATGTCTCCAGAGCTGCCCCCGACTCCACCTTGGCCTCCCCAGCCCCACATCCCCAAGGCCCACCCAGTGGTCCCGCCTCCCTGAGCTCTCTAGGGGCAGGGATGTCGTCTGGCAGTCTTGTGTCCCCCACCACAACCCCCTCGACAGAGTGCCCAGAGCAAGTGGGGGCAGGGTTGGGTAGTGGAAAAGTGCGAGCTCTGTGTGTGTGTGTGTGTGTGTGTGTGTGTGTGGTATACATAGCACAAATTTTACCATTTTAGCCAGTTTTAGATGCATAGTTCAGTGGCTTGGGAGAGCACATTCACATTGTTAGGCAACCTTTACCACCATCCACTTCCAGAACTTATTCATCACCCCAAATTATAACTGTTCCCATTAAACATTAACTCCCCATTAAACATCCCCCCTCCCTGCAGCCCCGGTAAACACTACTCCACTTCCTGTCTGTGATTTGCCTGCTCTGGGTAGCTCGGGTACATGGGATCATACAGTATTTGTCCTATGGTGTCTGGCTTAATTTCACGGAGCCCGGGGTCTGCAAGGTTCATCCCTGCGGTAGCGGGAGTCGGACTCTCCTTCCTCTTCGAGGCTGAATAGTATTCCATTGTGCGGATAGACCACATTCTCTTTAGCCATGCATCCATTGATGGCCAGTTGGGTTGTTTCTGCCTCGTGCCTTGGGAGTAATGCCACTGTGAACGAAAAAACACCGGCTTTTGAGTCGAATCCTTTCTCTGCCACCTACCTGGCTGGGGCCAAATGTGCAGTCCTCAGGGCTATGGAGGCCCAGGCAGGTGTGGCGGGCATGATGCGCGGTGGCCGGGCTCCCTCGGGTCACGGGCCTGTGGAGTGGCCCCTCTTGCCACCGCTTCTCCTGGCAAGAAGACGTTGGTCCCCTCCGGTGCAGCTAGGTGGCCGACACTTGCCCTGTGCCCTTGCTCAACAGCCCCAGATCACCGAGGACTTCCGGGCCCTGAGGAAGGCCGCCGAGAACATGAACCTGTTCAAGAGTAACCACCTGTTCTTCCTCCTTCTCCTGGCCCACATCATCGTCATGGAGAGCATTGCCTGGTTCATCATCTTTTACTTTGGCAATGGCTGGATTCCAACCATCATCACGGCCTTTGTCCTTGCTACCTCTCAGGTGAGGTGGGGCGCCCTCACCGGACGCCTAAAGCCCCCACCCTAACCCCCCCCACCCCCTTAGCTCGCAGAGGCTGGGGACGCTTGAAAGCTGGCTCTGTGAAAGCATCTCTTTCCCCAGGCCCAAGCTGGATGGCTGCAACATGATTATGGCCACCTGTCTGTCTTCAAGAAGTCCGCATGGAACCACGTTGTCCACAAGTTCATCATTGGCCACTTAAAGGTAAATACCGGCAGCCCTGGGCATCTGCCCATCAATTAGCGGCTGGCTCGGCCCTGGCTTACTTTGCCTGGGGCCAAGTCTCCTCTCGGGTCAGTGTCTGTGGCCGCAGGGTAACACCGCGGGTGCACAGGGGAGCCAGACCGCCCTGCTGGGTTTCTCGAATCCTCCCCTCCTCTGACCTTCCCAGGCCTGTCTCCGTATCAAATCAACCAGCAAAAGCAGCGTGCTGGTTATGAGGACAGGCACGCGCTGCCTTTGTACATTGACTCAGTTGATGATATTGATGATATTGCTTACTAGTTATCTAAAAACTTTTCTAATATGTCCCTCTTAGTCTGAAAGAGAGATATTGTCACGGAAGTGACAATAAGGGACATGAAAGAGCACAGTGATCAGCTGAGCCACAGGACCAGAGTTGTATTTAAGGCTCGTGGGGAAATAGTTTCTGTCTCTCCCTCCTGCCGCTGAGGAGGTCGCCCCGCAAAGCGTTACAGCGAGGCAAGTTCGTCAGAAGACAGGCTGGACTTGCCAGCGACCTTGGACTCGTCCGATTGGCTTATCTCCTTGGTTTTGGAAATAAGTCCTTGCTGGCTCGTTCTGAAACAGATCATCCCCCACTCGGCCCTTTCCCAGAAGCACCCAGCTGCTTCCTAAGAAAGGCTGGGTCCTAAAGAATCCCACCCTGCCTCACTCTGGCTTGGGAAGAGCTACCTGTCTGGGTTAAGCATATCCCCCCACGACCCAGACCGCGGAGAGCCCATGGCTTTCGGGCCCCGGATCTGGTTGGGGGTGAACCAGCGCTGAACTAGGAACCAGTTCCCTCGCAGCTTGCCTGGCCCTGAGCCTGAGGCGGCCTGAGAACCTGGTTTCTGTCCAGAAATTCAGGGCTGAAGGGAGCGGGTGTGCATAGTAGAGCGCTTTGTTTCATTTCATACTCTTGTCTGCTGGATAAAACCCTCCTCAGTATTGGAAAGTAACATCTCACTCCCAACCCACGTTATCCCCAACCGCTTAACAAAGATGGGCTGTGTCCTGTATCCAGATTCTGGGTGGGAGCCGGGAGGACCTTTCCTGCCTCACGTCCCTCAGTTTTTGCAGGGCCTTGGAGCGCAGCTCTCGTGTCAGACGGAGGACGAGGCCAGGACAGAGGACTGGCCTCCATGGAGAACGTGGGTTAATGACATCAGAACTCTGGGATAGGGGGAAGATGGGGTACTTGGGCCCGGAGGTTAGAGGTCAGAGACGGGGGCTGCACTCATGGCTGGCCAGTTCTCTGCTTTGCTGTGTCCTTCTTGCCATGTGTAGGCCGGGGGGGCACAGTTATGCAGCTCACCCCAGGGTGCCCCAGAGCCTGGGGCCTCACAGCTTGGCTGAAACCAGTCTGGCACCCCATAGTCACATGGCTGCAGACGAGTCTTGTAGATCCATCTGCTCTCTTGGTTTCCCTTTGCTGGGAAAAAAGGGGGCTGGCTGCAGGGAGGTCCCCAGGTGCCCTGCCACCTCGAGCGTCCTATAGCACAAGTTGGTGCGGAGCAGAGAACGGGGTGCCAGGCGCCTCGAGGGGCTGGGACCTGCTTCCTACCAGCAGCCTGAGCAGCTGCGGGATTCCAGAGTGGACTCTCCCCATCCCGACTTGCGGGCTATTCCGGCGGACAGGTCTTTCAGAGGATGGTCTTGTACAAAGAGTTCTGAGTCATCACACCTCTGTTAAAAACCCTTTAAGTGTTCGGCATTGCACTTAGGATAAAATGCACACGGCAAGGTCAGCACCCTCCAGACTCCGCATCTGGAGACGGAGACCAGGAGACCGCCAACTTTTCCACTACATCATCTCGGGCCACCAGGGCCAGGACTAGGGCAAGGCAAGTGAGGTACTTGCCTCGGGCACAAAATTTAAGGGGACACTTAAGGACTCAGTAATCAAGATGAAGAACATTTTAACATAGGTTTTAAAAAAACAAAATTAATGCCAAGGAAAATCTACAGTGAACAAAATAGCAACATTTTAAATAAAGATCAGGACTGTGCTGGGCCATATTGGAACCTGAGGCAAAAGGAAAAAATCTGTGACCCCATATACGTGTTTGTATGTATTCTTTTTTTAATGGTTAGTTGGTCTTTTTCCTCAGAACATTAAAGTAGTTGAGAAATATTTAAGAGTTGGGAAGCTGGACGTATTAAAGGTCCCAACATTAAGGGAAAGTATATTATTTGTACCAAAACAGAATTTATTATTATTTTACTTTGGTTTAAGTTAGTTAAAAATTATTTAAGGGGCGCCTGGATGGCTTAGTCGGTTAAGCGTCTGACTCTTGGTTTCAGCTCAGGTCATGATCTCAGGATCAGGAGATTGAGTCCCATGTTGGGCTCCGTGCTGGGTGGGGAGTCTGCTTGAGAGTCTCTCTCTCCCTTTCCCCCTGCCCCTCCCGCCCTAAAAAAAAAAATTTTTTTTTTAAATTTTTGAATTAAGATTGTCACTTGGTGGAGAAAAGTCCTCCAACTTGGCAATTCTCTCATTTGAAAATGAGACAAACTAAAAAGTCGATTCGGAAACTGTTGTTGATGCCTTTGTGACCATTCAAGCCAGGAGTACACATTTTTCGATTTCCCTCAGGCTCTGATAGGGTTTAGCCCAGGACTTTTGGCTGCGATCCTGGGTTTTCGGCTCAACCAAGGGGACCTCGCCCAACCTCTTCCCTCTGTCAGGAAGGCACCCCTCACTCTCACTCTGCCTGGCCCCCTCCCCTCCCCCAGTTTTGCTTGTCTTTCCCCGCCCCATCTCAGTGTGCTGGGGTGCCCTACTCTCCCTTGCCAGGCCAAGGGCTTGCCTCTGGATCTCCGCTTCATCCGCAGGGCTGCTCCTCATCCCAGGGCAGGCAGGGCTTCTGGGTGGGAAGACTAAGTAGGGCTCTGCCTAGTGAAGAATGGAAATGGAAGAGAACTCCCTTCGCTGACTCGTTGCCGGGGTGTTCCCAGCTCATCTCTCTTTCCTTCCTTCATTTATTCCACAAACATCCCTGGGTCGGTGTATTCTAAACATCTGCCCACTCTTAACATGACTTGCTCCTCAATGTCTTTGTGCTGGGGACTTTCCATGTGACCTTTCCCAGGAGTGGGGTTCCTTCCGGCTGGAAAGGTGAACGTGTCATCTGAGTCCTCAGTCCTCTGAGCCCTCACTCACTGACATTTTTTTTTCCCGCTTTGATGGGTTTTGAGACCTACGTGCTTACAGGCAAAGGCCAAACCTGTGCCCGCCCAGGCCTCTCTGTGTCCAGAGACCTTGTTTGTGCCAAAAGGATCTTCCAAGTAAAATATTTGTTTTAGCAGTTAGTCCTTCTTGTGGATGGCCAGACCCTGGGCCCAAGGGTTGATTGATCCAGCAGTAGTTCACCAGTAAAGAGTGAGGAGTTGGAAGGGTCCCATTTCCTTCTATGGGCCACAGGGCAACTGTGGGGAGAGGCATGCCTCCAAACTGTGTCGAGAGCTTGAGTTGGTGAGACAGAGCTTTGTGACTTTGAAATAAATACTTAGGCAATGCTTCCTGTCTCCTAGAATCGTGGTTTTATATTTTCATGTTAGAACCTGGGAGCTCTTCCCTGTTCCTGTTAGCGATGGCTTATTAAGCCTTCCTTTGGCCTTCCGGGTGGGACCTCACTGAGTCCTCACCGCTCAGGGCAGCAACTGATCGGGCTGTTGGGCTGTCTCTTGCCAACTGCTTATAGAATATTCACAGATTTATGCAACCATCATCACAATCGACTTGGGAACATCTTCATCATCCCCAAAAGAAACCTCACACCTCTTAGCTGCCGCCTCCCAAGCCCCTCATCCCTCCCACGCGTCCCCAACCCTAACCCTGGGCAGCCACTAACCTTTCTATCTCTAGATTCTCTAGTCTGGACATTTCCTATAAATGGAATCACGTATGTGGTCCTTTGTGTCTGGCTTCGTTCACTCAGCAGGATGTTTTCAAGTTTCGTCCACGTTGTAGCAGGTGCTTCCCACCTTTCCGTGGTATGGGCCACACAGTTTCCACCTGTTGGTCATTTTGAGTAATGGGAATGTTGCTGTACGATTTTGCGTGGCCATGTTTTCATTTCTCTTGGGTACACACCTAGGAGTAGAATCCTGGGCCATGTAGTAGAGATCCCCTCTTACCGTTCCTGGAACAGAAGTGTTTCTCTTTGTATAACACGGCACTCGGGGGACGTGCGGAGGCTGAGGGGTGTGGGGGCTCACACCTGGTGCTGGCAGAGGGCAGAGGCCGCCCCACACCAGCCCAGGTGCTCGCCATGCACCCTGGCACCAGCTGGCCTCGCCGCCGTTGCTGTGGGGGATGGGGAAACATGGAGGGACGGCCTGGCTTGGCTCCATTCACAAGTCCTGGCCTCAGGGCTGGCCGGCACTCTGGACTCAGTACTGGCAGGGCTGTTTTCGGAGGCTCGGGGGCCCGAGGCCCCGGGTGTGATGGCGAAGTTGGTTCTGAGTCTCGGTGCTGCTCACCCCATTTCCCCCCCCAGGGTGCCTCCGCCAACTGGTGGAACCATCGCCACTTCCAACATCACGCCAAGCCCAACATCTTCGGCAAGGATCCCGATGTGAACATGCTGCACGTGCTCGTCCTGGGCGAATCGCAGCCCGTTGAGGTATGATGAAGGGTCAGTGTTGATGTGGGAAGTGTTTGACCTGAGCTGAAACCAGAGAAGGAGTCCTGGAGGTTGGATAGCCGTCCAAACACATCTGCCCCTGATGTTTACTTGGAAACCCTTCCTGGACGCCCTGAATTATTCAAGCTGGAATTTTGATGGAATGGCCTCATGTATGAATAATGAACCAGCTCCTTATCAGCGTTAGAGGCCTCTCTCCCTGCCATGGGTTGGGGAAGAACATTTCCGGGCTTGTTTCTTCCTGGGGGCCAGGGAACTCTGGTCCCAGTTCAGCAGGCAGGCGCAGGTCCGGGGCTCGAGCGTGGTCCCCAAACACCAGCTCAAGGAAACCTTATTGGGAGAGTCACAGTCCTCGATGCTGAGAGGGACCTCAGCGTAGTCTGGTCCAACCTGCTTCACCAGATGTGACAAAGGGAGGCTCCGGGGAAGGAGGGGATGTGTTCAGGATCCTCTAATTTAGTGGCTAGTCTAGGATGAGGCCCTGGATCTGAGAGTGAGGTCATTTCCTTCCGCTCTAGCACACTGCCTTATTTTTCTGTTAGTTCAATTTTTAGTAGAAATATAGAATTTACCTGTGACAAGCAGTTAAATATTACTAGAAATACACAAAATCACAAAGTGAATCTCCTATTCCCTCCATCATCCCCCTTTGCCCCAAAGATCTTACCCCTGAGGATAGCCACTGATGAAAACATGGTACATAAATCCTTCCAGATTTCTTTTTTTTTTTTTTAAAGATTTTATTTATTTATTTGAGAGAGAGAATGAGAGACAGAGCACGAGAGGGAAGAGGGTCAGAGGGAGAAGCAGACCCCCCGCTGAGCAGGGAGCCCGATGTGGGACTCGATCCCGGGACTCCAGGATCATGACCTGAGCCGAAGGCAGTCGCTTAACCAACTGAGCCACCCAGGCGCCCTCCTTCCAGATTTCTTGTATGTGCATATTCATATGCACATTCATTTTGTATTTATTTATTTATTTTTAAAGATTTTATTTATTTATTTGAGAGAGAGAGGGAGAATGAGCAGGGGGGAGGGGCCGAGTGAGAGGGAGAAGCAGACCCCCAGCTGAGCAGGGAGCCCAACGCGGGGCTCCATCCCAGGACCCTGAGATCACGACCTGGCCGAAGGCAGACACTTAACCGACTGAGCCACCCAGGTACCCCAGCACGTATTCATTTTAAAAACCAAAATTAAAACTTAGACATTCTGTCCTGCAACTTGCCGCCTTACCAAACACAGACCTCTTTCTGGTAGTCCAAGTGATTTGGCCTTTGCCTGGGTCTGTCTGGTGCTCCATTGTATTTCTGTAGCATCATGTAACCCATGCTGTTTTGTAAGATAGGAAACTTGTTGCTACTTCTCAATTTCTTTTTAATAAAATCACCCCCAATACCTTTAAAGAATGTCCTCATTTAAACGCTTTTTTTTTTTTTTTTTTTAGAAAGTAGAGCCCCTATGGGACAGCCTCTATGTTAGGGTTTAATTTACCAAAAAATCTACCTATGCTTTGCCTTTTGGAAGTACGGTGATGAGGTAAGCCCAAGTTTAGAGGATCCTGTTGCTTTTGTACAGCTCGTAAGCATCCCAGTGCCGGGCACAGAGGAGGGGCTCAGTAAGCATCTTTCAAGCGAGGCCCATTGAGGAAGGAGAAGGGTCCCGGATTCCCACCAGTGGTGTATTCCTGACAATGTTGGCATCCGAGACTTGGAACAAGGAGAGGAGAGAGCGTGTCCCTCCAATTCTAGTTTGTACCCTGTCTTTCCCATCTCAGTTCCACCCAAGAGAATATCTGAGCAGAAACACGGATTTTCTGCAACATGGTCAATAGCAGAGGTAATTAGCCAACATTCAGTACTTGGGAAGCCAGGCAGGGATTATATTCCCTTCCAAAGTACGTGCTGCTTGCCTCTTTCTTCTAGGAAGCAGTTTGCTAGCTTTGATTAGAGGTGTCCAGGTAATGCAGCTGATTCACTTGGGGCCTTCTGCTGAGTGAAATCAAAGGCTTCCCTTTCTGCATGAGGCTTCCTGTTGGAGAGCTGGTGCCTGTCCTGCCAGTTGTTCTCTGCGTCCCTAACACCAGAAATCTAGTCTCACCAGCTCCGCTCTGTGCCTTGGCCAGCGAAGCCTCTTCCAACACTTCCTCTCCCTAGACACCTCTTCAGTGCCGGCTTTGGGGCCGGGTGGGAGGTTTCGGAGATCTGGTTACCCCATTGCTAGTAGCATTTGAAAGACCCCCCTGTGGAAATCCTCAACTCTTAACACACGTGTAGGGGGAAAGGCCAGATATTCGCTGGGCTCCTGGCCGAGCTGTGCCCCGGTGTCCACGAGAGCATGCTGCCGCCCTGGGAGGGACCCTGGCAGCAGCGGGTCCGATGGCCTTGTCTCCTGCCAGCCCCACATACCACACACCACGCCAGGGCCACCCACCTGGCCCCATGTGGCCAGGCCTTGGGGGTGTTGAGCTAGCCTCTGGCCTCCAGAGCAAGGAGGCCAGGCCTCTTATCTCCAGGCTCAGGTAAACAAACCAGCTCCAAAGAGCTAGGCAGAAATTAAGTAGAGGGATCTCAGCGGCGAAATCCCTTTCCTCGTGAGTTCTCTGCCTTTTGGTCTTATTTATGACTTCTGGGAGGATTTTGTTTGTTTTACGTAGAAAGAGGTATTCACTTTTTCCCCCCTCCTGCAGATTCCTTTAATTTCTTTCGTGCTTAGAAAGTTCTTTTTTTTTTTTTTAAGATTTTATTTTTAAGTAGTCTCTACACCCAACGTGGGGCTCCAACTCAAAACCCCGAGATCGAGAGTCACATGCTCTACCAAGTGAGCCAGCCAAGCACCCCAAGAAAGTTCTCCACTCGTACTATTTTCAGTGTTTTGTGGCTTCGCGTTTGAATTATTTAACTTTGGCCACATGTGCTGTGGGTAGGCTGGTGTCCGTCCTTCTCATTTGTCTGGAGTCAGCCAGGTTCCCCAGCACCCCCATCAGGATGCATGGCCCCATCTGTGCGGGAAAGTGTCCCCCCTGAGCCCCGCGCCCGGGCTGGGTGGTCAGCCTCACGGGGGCGTCGTCTGCGAGACTTGGGCGGCCCTCCATCCGCCCCTGGCCCTTCATCACTGGCCGGCAGCCCTCTTAGCACAAGTCACCATCTTCACACTCTGTCTTTCCATCTTGCAGTAAGGCCTGTTTCTCCAGTTCCTCAAGCCTCTTTTTTTTTCCCTCTTAGAAAAGTTTTATACTTTTCTTTATATGTCTCGTGGGTGTTTCTTTTCCAGTTCAATCCTGGATCTTTCCTATTTTGGCTATTGGGATCGGTGTTTCTCCAATGTTCCGGGAAGCTGTTGCTACTTGGTGGGTAACTTAGGTCCATCTGGCATCTGCTCAGGCCTCTCTGCGATCCTAGTTGTCTTTCAGTTGGTTCTTTTTTGAGTTTCCTGGGTAGACAGTTATATCCTTGAAAATAATAAAAGGTACTCTTTCTCATAGCTCCACACTCTTACTTCTGGAGCTTCCAGAACAGCATTAAATAGAGGTGAAGTCAGCGGCAGCCTTCGCCCCTCCCTTTATCTGTCTGCCACATCCCAGAGGGCGACAGGGAGGCCATTATCCCTGTGGTACTGAGGCGGGCTTTCGGAAGCCAGGAGTGTTTGCGCCTCCTCACCGGAGATCCTGCCTTTCCACCTATCTGGGACGCTCTCCCTGCCCCACCGCCTGTCTGCAGCCAACCCTCCAAGCTTCTTTGTGAACCAGCCAAGGGACCAGTCCTCCCTTGGAACAACCAGGGCCCTCCTGTCAGGGCCCGTGGACCGGGGCCTTGCCATTCTACGCATGCCTGGCCTGGCTATGTAGCTCATTTCTCTCTGGGAGTTTGCAGGTTCCCAGAGGCGGGGACTGGGCTTTGCGACAGCTCCCTTCCCCCAACCCTGAAGGGACAAGGAAGGCCCTTGTCATTCCTCAGACATTTTGTTCCAAAGCTGAAAAGTCCCCTGCACATGCCCCTGGCATGCACTCAGCCTGCAATCCAAGCCTGGTCCGGGGTTTGTGGAGAGAGTGAGCACAGGAGGGCCAGCCCAGCCTGGGCAAAGGGGCAGGGACCTCCGGGAAACCAGGCCACCAGGGTTGGCAGGGCCCCCCCTCCCTCCGCCCTGATTTGCATCCCCTGTGAGCCACCGCTTGGGAATGCGTCAAAGGGAGCCCTTGGTCTGCTACCATTTTCATCTCTCGACCACAACAAGCCGCCTTGCCCGAGTGAAAGCACCCTCTGTCTTCCCCGAGCCTCACCTGTGACAGCCACCCGAGCTTTCTCCCTGTGTGTGTTGAGGACTCTCCCGGAGGGGAGGACGTGTGGGGAGGAGGGCAGACTCTCACCGAGTCCGCGCACCCAGCACCGTGCCAGGCCCGGCACGCAGGACGTCACTTCACCTTTGCTTAACCATGAGGCAGGGGCTCTCATCACGCCCATTTCAGGATGGAAGGGCTAAGGCCGAGAGACGTGAAGTAACTTGCTTGAGGTTCTAACGGGAAAAGGCAGTGCCACCACCCAAACCCAGGCTGTCTTGCTCCCAGCTGGGGCTTCTGGGTCCCGCAGGAACCTGCCCAGGGCCACTACCTGCTGGACCCCAGGGAACTGGCTTGTTGGGTCCCTCCAGCTTTCTGATGAATTGAGGTGCCAGGAGCCCTCCCCCCAGCTCGGTACGTTCTAAAGCCCCCTTCCAGCCCTCCCTGCGCCCATGACTTACGGGGCTAGACGCTGGCAGAGAGCCAAGCCAGCAAGGTAGCCACGCATCGTCAGAGCGAGCGTGTGCTCTCTGGTTTTCCGAGGAAAGTGGGTGCTGTGGGCCAGCCATACCCCGACAGGTGGCCTTGCAGTTAGTTGCCCCGCCTGAGGTCACCGAGCTGGGAACAGACGTGCAGTGACCGTTCGGTGTGTCACCACACACAGCTGTGCGTGTTGCTGAGACCGCAGCTCCCCGTTCTGTTCCCGAAGGACTGTGACGCCCACCTCATCGGCCGGTCCCTCAGCAGCCCCGGGAAGTGCCCATCGGACCCCCACTGGATGAGGCGGGGACCCACAGCTCATGGCGGGGCAGAGGAGGGTGTGTGTGGAGCAATTTGCTCAAATGCTGAATTGTGTCTGAATCCTGAGGGCCTGCCTCCCTGAGCCTGGGAACCCCCAGGGCCTGACAGAGAGGCCGGGGACCCGGCAGCTGCTGCAGGACAGTCTGCAGCACTGAAGGGGCCCACGTGGGGGCCAGGAGTGCCCACGGGCCAGGGGCAGCTGGGGGAGCGTCAGCGTGTGGGACCTGTCGCTCCCCAGAGGTCACCATAAATCAATGGGAACAGCATGCTTACTACGGAAACGCAACTTCAAATGAATCCCCTGGTGCCCTTCCCCCCACCCCAGCAGCTTAGCCGCCCCTGGGTCCTTCTATGGGAACTCTCTGGTCCGCCCACCTGTCTGGGCTGCCCTTAGTGTTCACTTCCCAGGAGTCTAATTAGCCTGAGAGGGTCCATGGGGCCTGGGGCCACCTCCTGGGATGACCCATGGGCAGAGCTGTGGCAGGGAGGGCTCCTGTTCAGGGCCGAGAAGCCTGCACACAGAGGCTGGGCCTGTGCGTCTGTTTCCTGGCTTCTGGGAGGAGGTTAGAGCAGGATCCAGGGGCCATATGCTCCCTGGAACCCCGACAGGCCACTGAGTGGGTGCCCCTCTACTCCCTCCTCTGAGAAATCTTCCAAGGCTGCCTTTGAAGCCTCCTTGGCTAGGACCTCTCCAAGGCCAGCCTCAGCCCCGGCCTTAGTGACCGTCCTTGTGCCAATGGCCACACTTTCCGGGGATGAGTGAGACCCCTGCCAAGGCACAAGAGGCCACACGGGACAAAGGGGTCGGTTCTGGTGGTGCTTCGGCCAGATGGGCCGTGACCACAGCCATTGGTGCCAAGACGCCGGTCCTGGGGGCAAGCTGGGCTTCTTTCCCATCCAGGGCTCCAACTTACAGGCGTCGTGGGCCCTCCCTGCGATTCTGATGGTCGTTACCCTCTCCGCTCCCACCCGCAGACAGCGGCGTTGGCTTAGCCAACATCCGGGGTCTCTCCATCCGTAACGTGTCTCCATCTCCTGAGTACAATAAATAGGAATGAGCACCTGCAAAGGGCTGGACCCGGGGAAGGGCGAGTGAGGGGCAGTGTCCCAGGGGCCAGCCCCCCAGCGTTTATGCCTGTGTTCCCATCGGCTCCTCTTAACAACCAGTGATTTGGGTGCCGAATGGGGTGGGGGCGCGGGGGCTAAAAGATCTGTACCGGTGATCCTGGCAGATCTTGGCACCGAAAGCAAGAGCGGGGGTCACTCTCTGAGCAACATCTTATGGTCTCAGTCCCCAAGGAGCAAGGTGGGCTGGTCTGCAGAGAGCTGGACCCTAGCACTGAAGGGCTCCAGGGACCCGTGGGGCAGTGACTTCCCTACAGGCTCGTGCTCAGCATGGCCTGAGCGGCTTGGTGCAGTGAGGATGCCCAGGCCCCAGCGCGGCCTTCCTCGCTGTGACTGTCTGGGCATCAGGGTACCCTGGGTGGGTCCCCAGCCTGCCGGCACCCTCAACTAAAAACTGTCTGCCTGGGAGAAGTGATTAGCTTTGGAAAGTTGGCAGGGGGCTCTGGGAAGGTAGATGCTCCCAGCCCGGTGACTGTTAACAATTCCCCAGGCCCTAATCTGTGTTCTCCCGGCTCCTGCGGGCTCTGGGGAGCTCCCCAGCGTGCCCCGGGAGCTTTTCTCACTCTCAAAGGGGTGGAGACTGGCCAAGGAGCTCCCTCGGTGGGACCCCGTATGAGTTGTTCAGTTGTGCATTCACTCCACAAACATTTATTTGGTGCCTGCCATGTGGGCTCTGAGTCAGCTTTCTTGGGTTCAGATCCCAGCTGGGCCCATTTCTCATGTGGCCTTGAGCAGTGATTTGACCCTGAGCCTCAGCTTCAGAAGCCCCAGCCTCGTGGGCTGGCGGAGGAGGGCGTGAGCTGAGGCCTGGATGGGACAAAGCTGGGGCCGAGGAAATGGTGGCCAGTGTCGGCCGGAGCAGCTAGGAGCCTGAGGGCCCAGGGTGTGGACTGACAGGACGGGAACGGTGACTGCAGAGCGGGCGGGGGGGCCTGGGCGGGTGCTCACCCTCTCTTCTCTCTCCTCAGTACGGCAAGAAGAAGCTCAAATACCTGCCTTACAACCACCAGCACAAGTACTTCCTCCTGAGTGAGTGTTGGGGGCTGCCCTCCAACCACACCCCAGAATGGCCATCTGTCCTCCCCCCCAACCACCTGCCACCTCTTTAGACCCAGGAATCGCCCCTGAGCCTGTTTGAGCAGGAAGGGCCATCCATCCCGAGTAAACTGCTCCCGGCACATGGTGCAGACAGGACCCAGAGGCCCAGGGTCCCACACTCGGGGGCCCCTGGGCAGGGAAAGGGGGCGGCAGGGGGGAGGGGGACGTGTGCTCCCAGCCCCTCCTCAGGCGCAGGTCGCTGCCTCTGCCTGGGAGCTGCGGAGCTGGGCCCCCAGTTCAGGGCTCGCCGGG